CTTATCATTTTTGACCTTTTCCAAGTTTTTTAGTGTTTCTAGTGCTGCATGCTGCAGATGACATCTTATACGATGAAAAGTGCATCTTTTGTTTTCCAATTAAAAAATTTGCAAAAGTCTGAACTTTTCTAAAATGCCATTCCAAAAACATTGCGAAACCATTTTGTGACAATTGTTTTTTGTTTGAAAATTTGCCAAAACGTTCCACGGAACAGCTGACATTGGGGTGAGGTCAAGCTGTTCATGACGACTCGAGTGGGTTGGATGTGAGCTGGGCTGTGAATAATCGTTGTTTTGGATGGAATTTTTTACATTTTTGCTAGCTGGAAATAAAATTTTTGTATTTTTTGAGTTTTTAAAGTGTGCAGTCTGCGGATGACAAGTTATACAATGAATGCTCTTTTACGTTTTGTAAAGAAAGTTCTTGTTATTTCTTGTTTTGTAAAGAAAGTTTCTGCAATTTTCAGTGCTGTAAAGAAAGTTATGACCATTTTAATGGAAAAAAGATTTTTAGTTTCGCAGCCAACGAGTGACAAGTTATACGATGAGTCTTGTTTTACGTTTTGTAAAGAAAGTTCTTGCTATTTTACTAACGTTTCTTTAAATTTAAAAAAACCTTGGCCATGTATAGAAAGTTCCTTCGCATAAAATAAATTTTTCTCTAAAATACAGTTGTAAAGAAAGTTTTTGCGCTCAAAATTGTTTTGACTCCCAAAAGGCAGTTGAAAAGAAGGTTTCTGCACTCAAAGTCATTTTTTGTCCAAAATTCAGCTGTAAAGAAAGTTTCTGCACTCAAAATAATTTTTTTTCTCTAAAATTCAGCTGTAAAGAAAGTTTTTGCGCGTAAAACCATTTTTCATCAAAAGTCAGCTGTAAAGAAAGTTCCTGCGCTCAAAATTCTTTTTTTCTTCTAAATAAAGCTGTAAAGAAAGTTATTGCGCTCAAGTACATTTTTTTCTTAAAATTGAATTGTAAAGAAAGTTTTTACACTCAAAATCATTTTTTCTCTAAAATACAGCTGTAAAGAAAGTTATTGCGCTCAAATACATTTTTTTCTTAAAATTGAATTGTAAATAAAGTTTCTGCACCCAAAATCGATTCCAATTGTTTTAACTGTTTCGAATGTTATTGTTTGTCCCCAAAAACAGGACAAAACGGCCCGGCTCCCCGGAGGCATTAAGGGACGAAGAAAGGTCAAGAACAGATTTCGCTTCACGATAAGCCTCGCAATGTTTTTTTCTCTTTCTATTCTCGGTTTTCTTCTACAGCCAGCCGGTTTTTTTTAAAAAAGATTTTTTATTTTTTGAGCTGATAATTTTGGCGCATAAGTTTAGGTAACACTTTGTTGGGATTTGGGATGGAAAGAAAGTTCTTGCGGTTTTTCAGAGTAGGAAAGAAAGTTTTGGCTATTTTTTTGTTTTTCTGTAAAGAAAGTTATTGCGTTGTTTTAAATTATCGGTTTTAGAATTTGTAAAGAAAGTTCTTGCTATTTTTTAATTCTTTGTAAAGAAAGTTATTGCGGTTTTTTAAATCTGTAAAGAAAGTCCTTGCGGTTTTAGAACTTTTTTAAATAAAGTTCTTGTATTTTTTGGTCCTGTAAAGAAAGTTCTTGCGGTTTTTTATATTTTTAAAGGAAGTTTTATGCAGTTTTTCGTAATCTGTAAAGAAAGTCTTTGCGGCCCTGGAAGAATCAGATTTTAACCTTAATTTTAAGTACAAGCCAATTTTAGAAAATGACCTTTTAAAAATATCAAGAGCAAATTACAGTAGATACTCAATTATTTGCCTATTGTTATGCAAAAAAAAGTTTCGGTTACTTGGCAACGCATTGTCAAAAAATTTTAAGTGTGGTTTTGAGCATGAACGAGAAGTGTTTTTGGCGGTGGGGGCGTTAGCAATATCTGTATATCTTGTTTTGTGAGGTGTAGATGGATAAAAGCAGTTTTTTCTCAATTTCAAATTTCTAACTTTACATTTCAAGTTTTCTTCATGTATCGGTCAAAGACTTATACTGAGGTGAATATGATGAGAAGGTCGTTCTAAGTGTTGGGTGGTGTTGTTCCAATTAATGAGAACTATCAAGTGTCGACATAAAGAACCCGCCATACTTTGCCTGTACTTTCCTGTAAAAAATGGCGGGTTCTTTATGTCGGTATCTAATATATAGAATGAAGTAGCATTGAAAGTTGTGTTAATAGCGAGTTTAAAAATATTCCTAATGTTTTAGTTTAGTCTGGCACAGCTCTTTCAAGATCCATCTGTTTCGAACAAAGAACTTGTAATAGATGAATCTTGGAAGAGCTGTATTAGCGTAGCCAGATGGATTGTTCACTGTTTAAAATTTTTTACTAGTACAACTATCTATGCTCTTTCATACTATATTGGTCTCACTTGAATTGGCAACGGTTATTTTTTAATATCACGGTAGAAGCACTGTATAACGGGCTCTTCTATAGCGAGGATTCTGTATAACGAGCAACCTTCATATCCTCGTCACCACACAGTGAATTCAAGATTCTGGTATACCGAAACGCCTTTATAAAGAACAACTTTACAATCCCCGAGCGATATCTTATACAGGAGTGCCCAACTATGTATAAATGTTGATCATAACGAGATTTAACGATAAAACCAAATTTTAATTAAAATTGTTGTCCTTCACTTTGGTGGTCGAATATTCATGGTCTTTCTCTCATTTTGTGTTGTACTTTTGCGCCAAACAGTAGTTTTGAAATTGGGTTTAGCGAAAAAAAAACTTTGTAAACAAACAGTATTAAGTCGTGGTCTTGAAAGATTGTCTAAATTCAATATTTTTTTTATTTTAAAAATGGCTTAGGTTACTTTTGGGAAAAGGACAGGCATTTTTTTGTCAGGGTTGATGCGAAAACTTTCTTTACAAACTCGAAAAAAAACTGCAACAAGTTTCTTTAGAGATTAAAAAAAAACAAACTGACGTTTATTTATAAAGCGCAAACTCTTTCTTTACATTAACTTTTAAAACTTTCTTTACAGCTTTCGGAAAAACCGCGAGGGCTTTCTTTACAAGCTTTGATAAACCGCAAGAACTTTCTTTATAAGCTTTGATAAACCGCAAGAACTTTCTTTACAAATTACGAAAAAAACCGTAAGGAGAATTGAAGTGACATCAAATTACTTTGGTAAAAATGGGCAAGACCGTAAGCGGCTAAACTTGTTCATCAAACAACAATCCCGAGGGCTGAGTCATCGCTCTTAAGGGCCTCTCTTTAACTATGAAGGATTACGTTTTTGCAATTTCTGTTCGATTTTCGGTCAATTCACAACAATACAAGTCTTTAAAAGTGCAAACAATTATATTATGCGCAGAAATGAACTAACTGAAAGGACTTTCTTTACAGAACTTAAAAATTTAACTAAAAAATGTGTTTTTGGTTGTATAAGATGTCACTCGCAGCCTGCCGGGAAGAAAATTTTGAAAATTTGTAGGAATTGAAAGAACTTTCTTTAGAGGATTTAAAAAACCGCAAAAACTTTCTTTACAGAATTTAAAAAATAGTCCTTAAAATTTAAAATTTATTTCCATCGTATAACGTGTCTTCAAATTATGTAAATTTTGTGAAAAGAAACACGAAAACTTTTTTTTTAAATGTAAAAGCGCAAAAACTTTCTTTACAATAATGTAAAAAAACTTTTTTTACAACTTTTGTTCTTAAAATCTCAACTTAAGCTTCATGTTTCATCGTATAACATGTCTTCCGCAGCCTGCAGTCACACTTTCTTTACAATTTTTTTCAAAAACCGCAAGAACTTTCTTTACAGTTCCTCAACTACCACATAACCCAAATTAAATTTGCAAAAATCACGTGTTTAATCAACAATGATTAACTTTTTTTCATTGCCCGAAGGCAAATTATCAATTTGTTACTCCTTGAAGAGATAACGGCGACGAGAACGTTTAGGACGGGGCTAATAATGTTTGTTTTGCGCTTTTTACGTGATGAAATCTTTTGTTTTTACAAGAGTTTTTTAAAATTAATAAACGTTGCTCAAGGGTTTTTGCAGAAAAAAGTCTTTTTTAGCGTGGAAAGAAAGTTACTGCGGTTTTTGAAGGTTTGTGAAGAAAGTTATTGCCGTTTTTATCAAAATCTGTAAAGAAAGTTTTTGCAGTCTGACAAAAATAAAAAAAACAATTTATTGGCAATCTGCGGGTGACATTTTATACGATGAAAAGTAAATTTTGAATATTGTGGACATAACAAAAGTTGTAAACATAGTTTTTGCGTTTTTATCTTACTGCAGAGAAAGTCCTTGTATTCTCTTTTAAAAACATAAAAAAGAAGTTGTGCTGAAAGCTGCAGAAGACATGTTATACGACAAAAAAAAATAAATTTTGAGTTTTAAATAGAGTTTACATTATGTAAACAAAGTTTTTGCGGTTTTTTCAAAACCTGTAAACAAAGTTCTTGCAACTTCTAAAAGTTTTTATAATTTTTTTCTCGACAGGCTGCGAGTGACATCTTATACAATGAAAAATAAATTTTAAGGGTATAACAAAAGTTGTAAACAAAGTTTTTGCGTTTTTTAAAATCCTGTAAAGAAAGTTCTTACGGTATTCTAAATGGAGTCAAATAAGGTAAAAAGTAAAAAAAGACGGTAGAATCAGAAGCATTATTCAACGCGATGGAAGATTCCTTTGATCGAATAAATTCACTGACCTTGATTCGCGTTCATATGACCATCACCTTGTTCTACTCCATTCTCTCTCCTTTTTTCGATCAATATCTATTCGTTTTTTGCACTGTTTTCGCGCAGTTAGTTTTTGTCATCAGAATTTGTTGAAAATTGAATATATTTCAGAATCCCCTCACTGCATTTCGGACCCAGTAGCATCTGGAGATTGAAATCGAGCCGCTACCTCGATCCTCTCCACTTTTACTGGGCCATCTCGGCCTTCACGCTAGGCCGACCAACTTAAATCGACGGGTCAAACGCTGCGAACGCTCATCATTTGTTATCGTACAATGATGGCTCCGAACGAAGCTATTTCATCCGAAATTTGTGGTAGGTTTTGGTACTTTTAAAGGATATTGTAGTAGGTGTGGGGAGGTATGGGTTGTGGTTGGGCAGGGTGATATTGCTTTTTTTGGGGTGGGGGGGGTTAAAAATGCTTTTTTTTATTATATTAGTGAATGGGACACTTTCAGTTTAAAATTTTTTGCGAAGTTACCCCCTCCTCCTTTGTTCCCTCTTGTCTCCTCTCCCCTCCCCTGTTCTTCCCCTTCTCTCTGTCTCCCCTTACTTCTTCCTTCCCTCAAGCCGTTTTCACCTTCTTTTAACATGTAAGGCCAAAACTACCCGCCCGACCCCAGCTTTGAGTAGATCAATATTCAAATCACGTATAAGTCGATCACGTTATCAGAATTGACGTCATCGTTCCTCTCACTGAACTTGTTGACTATATTTTATGTTTTTCGAACGTTCATTTCTCTTTTTTTTCGATTTATTTATTGATTTTCGCTTCAAATCGATATCATCATTGGTGGAAGCTGAGGTTCGGATACGTTTTGGTCAATTTAAATTGATTTTTGTGAAAAAGTCCGGTTTTTTAAATTGATTTTTTTTTGTGAAAAAGTGGGTTTTGAAACCGATTTTTTTGTGAAAAGTCCGGGTTTGTAAATAATTTGATTTTTTGTGAAAAGGTCAGGGTTCTTAACTTAATGTTTTGTGAAACAGTCCGGGTTTTGAAATTGATTCTTTTTTGTGAAAACGCCTGGGTTTTAAACTTGTAATCTGCTCACTATAGCATTATGAACTACTATAATATAGAAACATGCAGTAATATCTTGTTTTGTGTATATATTAATGTAATTATGTACATATTGATGTATACATGTGTATAGTAGTGTATACATGTACATATTAGCATACATATGTATATAGTAATGTATATATAAATGTAAACCTTTTTATATTAGGTTGTTCACTTAATTCTGCGCCCCTTCTTAAAGCAAATTGGCTGGGTAAGGGGGCGCAGCATTATTGAACAACCTAATAGCTTACAATTGTTAGTCTAATATATTAATATAACCCCTTTTCCAGCCTCATCCCTGGCCACAACCACATTGGCCGAAGATGAGCCCTCATCCAAAGGCCGACCACCAAACACACTAGTCGACCCCAAAGCCCAACAACATCAAACACAGATGCTACAGGGCGCCTTCAGCAACTTCTTCTCCTACTCCGGCCTGGGCTGCGTCTTCCCCTTCTGGTACCGCAAACCGAACACGGACCGGTTCGCAATTCAGAAGGACAACTACGAGATCGCGTTGGAGTGCATTGAGATCGACTTCAACAAGAACTACATCGGCGGTGGCAACCAGAGCTCGGTGTTCCGTGGCAAGTGGAACGGCAAGTACATCGCGCTGAAGAAGCTGAACCGAGCATCCGAGGTTGATATTGATAAGCTGATCAAGTTGGACCATCCAAATGTCATCAAGACCTTGGGTATCAGTAGTAAGGAGATATACCCGTGCATTATCATGGAGTACTGTGAACAAGGAGGTCTGTTCGATGTGCTGAGAAGAGTTCATGTAGACAAGACCATGTTCGTGGACTGGGCGAAAGGAACTGCTGCTGGCATGCAATACCTACATTCGTTAAAGATTGTCCACAGGGATTTGAAGTCACCAAAGTAAGGAGGGGGTATTGGTAGAATGGTGGGTGGTAGGGTATGGTAATGTATGGTAAGTTAGGATAGGGTAGTGCAGGGTAGGACAAAGTGGCATATGTTATGGTTGGGTATGATAATGTAGGGTTGGGTAGAGTAGGGTAGGGTAAGGTAGAGTAAAGTAAGGTAGGGCATGTTAGAATAAAGTTGGGTAGGGCAAGTAAACGTTTATAAGGAAGCTTACTGTAGGGTAAAATAAAACTTTGCAATACGAGTTAGTTTAGGATACTGTACACTACCTTAAACGGAGTTCAGGGTAGGCTACAGTAGGGGCGTGTAGAGTAGTTTGCAGTAGGGCAGAGTAGAGTTGGGAACTGTAGGCGGCTAGGATACTATAAGTTAGTGTAGGGTAGGGTAGGGTAGGGTAGGGTAGGGTAGGGTAGGGTAGGGTAGGGTAGGGTAGGGTAGGGTAGGGTAGGGTAGGGTAGGGAAGGTTAGGGTAGGGTATGATAAGGCAATGGTAAAGTAGAGCAGAGTAGGTTACGATACACACTATTTTGTAATGAATTACGGTAGGTACTGTACATACTATAACACACCCTTTCAGTATCCTAGTCGACCAGCACAATCAAATCAAGATCTGTGACTTTGGCTCTCTCTACAGTTGGGACAAGACCTATATGCCTTCAGTAGTGATGTCCGTGTGTGGCACATCACAGTGGATGTCACCAGAAATGATGAAGAATGAGCCATGTAACGAGAAGGTGGACATCTGGTCATTTGGAGTCGTTTTATGGGAGTTGTTGTTCCAAGAAGTCCCTTATAAGAACATACCGCCAATGGCAATCATGTTCAATGTTGGATCGGAGTAAGGGGTTTGAAGGTTTTAGGGCATGGGTGGAGGTAAAATGGCCAAACATACCTATAACAATGCGCCAAAAGTTCTGTTACACGGTTTTCTAACCAAACATTCATTTTTTAACAGAACTTTTGGCGCATCCTGTATTGTTATAGGTATGTATAATACGCCTTTCTTAGCTCTACAAGAGAAAATTAGATCTTTTATTATCTAAGACAATATAATCCTGTCTTTGTTATTTAAAATGTAAAATCAGGCCTTCTCTTGCCTAAAACAATATAATTGTGTCTTTGTTACCTAAACTATCTAATAATGCCTTTTCTAATCTAAATTAATATAAGTATAAGCTTTTCTTAGATTTACAAGATCAAACCATTAGAATTTAACCCCTTTGTTACCTAAAATCTAAAACCAACCCCCTCCTCACCTAAAACAATATAATTCCAGTCGTCTGAAGCTCCACGTCCCAAGAACCGCTCCAGACTGCTACAAGTTGTTGTTGAAGATTTGCTTCGCCAAACGACCACGAAATCGACCGTCCTTCACGTCGATCCTAAATCATCTCGAGAACATTCGTGTCGAGATCGAGAAGATTAACGACGATGCCTGGCGAATGAGGAAAGAAGCCTGGAAGAAGGAGCTGAACGATGAAGCCGACAAACTCAAGGTCACGAGTAATAATGCCGAAGCTGAGGCTGTTAAAGGTAGGTTGATAGTTAGCTTTTTGGAAGGTAAAGGGGTGGGAATGAATTTGAATTGGTAATAATAGGTTTTTCAAGCAATGATAAGGTATGATCACATAACTTTTGGTTGAAAAAACGTTTAAAATTTCATTTTTCTTTATAAAATAGGTAAGAAAATAGGCTTTTATTGTTAAAGTAGGTATGAAAGCTGACATTTTTATGCAAAGTAGGTAAGAAAGCAGATTTTTCTTGCAAGAATAGGTATGAAAATTTTTTTTTATTATTAAAATTGGTAAGGAAACCTACTTTTCTTATTGAAATGGATAAAAATAGATGTTAAAATAGTATTTCCTCTTAAAAAAAGGTAAGAAAACAGATCTTTCCTTCAAGAATAGGTATGAAAAGCGATTTTTCTTGTTTAACTAGGTATGAAAAACGAAGTTTCTTATTGAAATAGGTATGAAAACACACTTTTCTTATTAAAATAGGTATGAAAAAATGATTTTTCTTAATAAACTAGGTATAAAAATCGACTTTTCATTTTAAAATAGGTATGAAAATTAATCTTTCTTATTAAAATAGGTATGAAAAAAAATTTTTCTTACTAAAATAGGTATATAACCGATTTTTTGGACAAAAACAAGTTGTAAAATGGAGTTTTTTTGACAAAAATAGGTATGAAAATAAATTTCTTCTACCTTATTTATCTAAAACAAGCTTTTTCCAACTTTCTTCACCTAAAACAAAAGCTAAAACTCTTCCATTTTCAGCCGAAAACCTGGTAACGAAGCGAATGCACGAGCTCCGTCATGCCCAAGAACTGAACCAGCTCTACAAATTGAAAATGAAGCGAGTCGATAAGCTGATGGATGAACTCATGTACAATCTACAACACATCAGATGCATGGAACAGGATCTGGAAGACCGTGAACGACGCGTAGCTCAAGAAGAAGCCCGCTTGATCAGATTGAACAATGGATATACAGGTAAGGGTTTTAGTTGATATTTTTCTTGGTTTAGAGGCTGGAATTGATGTTATTCATGACTAAAGGAGAAGTTCTTGATGGTGTTTATGGTTTAGAAGCTAAAAGTAATGTTATCCATGGCTAAAGAAGGTGTTTTTGATGTTATCCATGACAAAAGCCAAAATTTCTGATGTTATCCATGATATTCAGCTTCTAAAAGATCTTTTCTACCTTCTAAAGAACCTGAATCATATTACTCGTGACATAAAACATCTAATAAACGTCTTTTTCAGCAGTAAACTCATCAAACGGATGTTATCCATCAGCCACAACCTCATCCAACCTCCCTTCCGGCTGTTTCGGTGGGATCAAAGTGCCGGAGCTGAAGTCAGTGAAGCTACAGCCAAGATCGACTGTCAGGACTAGTATGAAGTCAAATAAGACTTATACAGAGTAAGTGTTAATTAAAAATGGCAGTTTTGAGAAGATTTTTGGAGAAAAGTAGGTGTTTTTCTTCTAAAACACTTGATTTTAATGAAAACTATTCAAGAAAGGTCATTTTTAATATTTTTTGACGTTAATAAAATTTCTCAGATTGAAAAAGTTTTATTTTGGGTAAAATACGGATATTTTTGTTTCTGGAACAAGAGTTTTTTGAGCGCGTCAAAAAGAATTGGTCGGGTTTTTTAACAAATCGCTAAAACAATCGACAGTTCTTTTTGACGCGGCCTTAAAACTTTTGTAAAAACATATAAAATGGGTCAAAATATTAAGAGAAATGGTTTTAAAAATCGGAAATAATCAAAATCTATTTAAAATAGCAAAAACTTTCTTTACAAAGCATAAAATGGCAAGAACTTTATTTGAAAAATAGGGAACTATAGTTATAGTTGAGTTAGTTAACTAGCATTGTTCGTATAACTTGTCATTCGCAGGCTGCAAATCCTCAAAAATGCGTTTTATGGCTTAAAATGGCAAGAACTTTCTTTCCAATGCATAAACTGACAAAAACTTTCTTTACAAAACATAAGATGGCAAGGACTTTCTTTACAACCCAAAAATGGCAAGAACTTTCCTTACAAATTACAAAATAGCAAAAACTTTCTTTACAGAACCCAAAACAATATTTTCAAGCTAAATATGCGAATTTCAGTGTGTATCACCAGCCAGGACAGCACGCCATCCTGACAATGCAAGTAGACGCCGAAGACGGTGACGAACCCCTATCTCCGGACGTTCCTCAGTGTGCCTCGTCGTTTCAACCTCAGTATCCATCCTCTAATCACATTCATTGCTCAGTCTCGGCCAATGATATGGGCGGCCGACTGAACGACACGGTCTCACATTCCGTCTCCAGTCTACCGCTAGCGACCACAGAATCCACGGAAGAGCTAGCCAAAGTCCCACCACGGTCCAGGCACAGCTACGCGTTGGGCGGACATCAGAATTCGTTCGATTCGGATCCGTCACGCTTTTCATCACGTCTATCGTCGGCCAGAAGCAGTGTGAACGCCATGCAACGGCTGAACGGTCCACAACTTCGCCGTGCCCACGACTGTGAATGTCATCGACTGGTCGATGAATGTTTGTGCAATTTCAAGCGGAACACGCCAATCCGAACTTCTGGAGCATCGTGTGATAGTGGATTCTATGGCAACGTGCCGGATGGATCAATGATGTCTATTAATGGGAATCACGGTCAGAATCTATCGATGAATTGTCAGAATGCTTCAGGGATTCAGAATTCTTTAATGAATCAGAATTCTAGTTTGAATCTGAATCCATCGATGAATTGTAATCAGAATCTGAATGTATCGTTAAATGGCTTTCAGAATTCTAATTTATCGTCAACTTATCATCAGAATTCTCAATGCTATAGCCAGAATCCTCATGGTCAATCTTCACCACAAAGCCATAATAAGCACGCTACACAGACTCAGAATTCACAGCAGCTTCATAATCCAAATCAACTTCAAAAGCAGGACTGCCATTGCTTAACACCGTGCAACGATTGTCTTCAAGTTGATCGTCATCGTGGTAGCTACACTCCTTCAGGTGATTACCGTACTTCAAATGAGTACGGTAGCCCAACTCAATACCGTAATCCCGACCAATATCGTAACCCCGATCTATACCGTAACCAACAAGCACGCTGGTCGGACGGTCTACTTCATCGACGTTCTTGCCTTCCACCAACGAATTCATCGACCAACCTGGCCTCAACTCGCTCCACGGTGAGCACATCAAAGCGTAGCCGCCGCCACACGGCTTCGGCTTTCGCCCGAGGCTCGCCAGCTCGAGTACCCAACGTGAGGAGAAGGTCGAGCAAGCCAAAGGACGTGAGAAGATCGACCGGTAATCTGACGATGGGCACGGAAGGCCTGAGGAAACAGACGTCTTTGGAAGAGGAACGATCGGAGAGCTGGAGCACGATGGAGGCACAGTGCGACGGGACTTCTGGAGTCTTGAGGGATCGAAGAGGGACTCACAGTGGAACAGTGGAGGCTAGAAGGGATAATACGATGGATGGTAGAAGTCAGAGTACGATGAATAGTGGAAGCCATGGCACGGTGGATGGTAGAGCTCATAGCACGATTGACGCTAGGATTCATGACTCTTCAGAAGGCCGATGTCACGGTGCATCAGAAGGCAAACTTCATGCTACAAACGATGCGCTACAGAATGAGGACTGGCTTCACGATGAACATCACTGTGCAGAAGGCGCTTCTGAGGCAAAAATCAATCCTTCAGACTTCAGAATTCACTCTTCAGAATCCAGAAGTCATCTTTCAGACCCCAGAATCCATGAATACCACCTTCACGGTCCTCAAAACCGAAGCGGATCAACTCCACAACTTCAGAAGCCGCTACACTACGAACAACGTGCTCATTCCCTTCACAACAATAATCGACCGGTCGATGAGGACTACTACTACGACGACGAAGTGGATGGTGACGATGAAATGAACAACTTTGACGATGAAGACGACACCATCATGGGCGACGATGAAGAGTTCAGCGTCCGCAACGGCATCAACGCCAACTTCCTGAAGCGACCGATCCGACGACCCATCGAGGAGGTCATCATCGAGATGGATTCATCCATGAGTTCATCAACACAATCCAAAAAGTCGCCCAAGAAGAGTCACGTCAGGAACAACAACATCAAGATGGAACAGTCCACCTCAACCATGGCCTCTTCTCTGGAACGGTCACTGGAGATGGGCGCTGTGGATCACGATGGACTGTCTGATAGAGAGAAACAGCTAAAAGCTGTGACTAAGAGCTATCAGAAGCATCGACGCTGTGCTAGTGTAGGTTTTGAGATTTTTGTTGGTTTATTAGGTTGTTCAAATAATTATGAGCTAACTTCAAAACAAATGCTTTGGGGTTAGAGGGCACAGAATTATTTGAACAATTTAATAACGTTCTTGTCTTTCTTTCTCTGCCATCTTCTTACCTTTACATTGGCTAAAGCATTAGTAATATTCAATGGCTACTACAATAAACAATGTCAATATGATCATCAGGGCTATCTGGTGGGAGGGGTGAAAAATCATTATGGATCTTACCCTTACTAAAAAAAATTTTTTTTTGAAAAAAGATGAGCTTGGTCCCTCTGTTGATTGGAAAAAAATGTTTTATGAAATCGACTGGTCGATACCAGAAAACATTTTTCGATAAAAAAATGTTGAACTTGGTCCACCCTGTTAATATCCAAAAAAAGTTGACGTAAACTTTGTGAAAAATCTTTGATATATACTTCATAGAGCACAAAATAGTGTGTATGATATATGAATTATGAAATTGTTGGAATGTGTACAGCTTTTTATGCTCTTTAAGATGTATATTATTGTTTCTTGTAAAAATTTAGGTAACAGTCAAAAAGAAATGGCAAAAGTCCGCTGGACCTTGAAAAAATGTGCTTGTTTTGGAAAAAGAACGGGGGTTGGTAAAAGTACTGTAACTTTTTTATAAAACAAGATATATTTATGAATTTTATAGGATGTGTAAAGCTTTTTATGCTCTTTAAGATGTACATTGTTGGTTTTTGGAAAAAGTTAGGTAAAAGTCAAAAATAAATGGCAAAAAGTCAGTTGGATTTTGAAAAAAAAAAGATTGTTTTGAAAAAAGTAAAGGGTGTCGGTAAAAGTACTGTAACTTTTTTATAAAACAAGATATAGTTATGAAATTTATAGGATGTGTAAAGCTTTTTATGCTCTTTAAGATGTATATTGTTGATTTTTGGAAAAAAGTAGGTAACAGCCAAAAAGAAGTGGCAAAGGTTTGTTGGACTTTGAAAAAAGATTGTTTTAAAAAGTAAAGGGTGTCGGTAAAAGTACTGTAACATCTTTAAAAATTATAATTTGTGAAATCTTTTTGGTTTGCTTGATTACAATATAAATGAGCTACAGGCACACAAATTTTCAATTTTTTAACTAATTTTTTAAAAAGGTTATGACTAAAATAAGCTCATCTCATAACAGATCTCCTTGGGGCGGTGGTTGGTACTTTAATTTCCTCTTTTCTTTGTCTTCTTTCCTTTTCTTTTACCTTCTCTTGAACTAATACTATATAGTACGTCATTCTAAACCTTGATTTCCCTTACCAATTTCTAATTTTTTCCAATTTCAGAACCCAGTCTGTGCCATGGAAGCAGCCAAGTTCAATCGACTGAACGAAGTTAGCACCGAAAGCGACGAATCTGGCCGATGTTAATAGCCATCCTTTTGTTGTTGATATCATGAACAAATGGAGTTTTTGTTGATATTCATAATTTATATTGTTAGAAAGTGTAAATATGATTTTACTTGTACCTAAAGTAATATTATTGTTAGAAACTGTAAATAAAGTTAGATTTTTATTGATTTTGGAGGTTTTGTTATGAGTTTTTAATGATTTTTAGTCACAAAGTCTATCTGTCTTTTATTTTTAATTTTGTCTTTTGATTTTTCACAATATTTTGAGTTTTGCAGCCTGCGGGTGACAAGTTATACGAAGAATGGGTTTTACGTTTGTTACAGATAGTTCATGCAATTTTTTGTGCTGTAAAGAAAGTTATTGCCATTTTATGATGAAAAATCAAAAAGCGGTATCGCAGCCTGCGGGTGACTAGTTATACGAAACATTTTCTATTTTTGGAGCTGTTTTTGCCATTCCTTGTTCTGCAAAGAAAGTTCTTGCAATTTTTTGGTTCTAAAAGAAAATGTCTTCTATCTTTTTAAATTTTTAAATAAAGTTTTTGCCATTTCAACGGAGAAAAGCAAATTTTGAGTTTTGCAGCCTGCGGGTGACAAGTTATACGAAGAATGGGCTTTTAAGTTTTGTAAAGATAGTTTTTGACCTTTTGTATCTTGTAAAGAAAGTTTTGTCTTGTAAAAAAATACTTGCAATTTTTTGCTGTAAAAAATTTATTGCCATTTTAATACAAAAAAAACACAGAGGAAAACGAATTTTAAAGTTTGCAGCTTGCGAGTGACAATTTATACGATGAGTGCCATTTTACAGTTTGTAAACAAAGTTTTTGTAATTTTTTTTACTTTTTTGAAATTTTTTGCTGTTTGTAGGATATGTAAAGAAAGTTCTTGTTATATTTCTAAAAAGTGGTGAGAAAAGGACTGGGCGCAGTGTGGAAAGTTTCGCGCAGGCTGCAGGCCAAATAATTTTATTTTTTCGAAGTTTCAACAGAATTTTGTAAAATAAAAACATAAAATACATCTTTTTTGTTGCCTATAACAAGGTTTATAGAATTTTTTACAATATTTATAATTTTTCGATGTTTTAGATTACGAAATTAACATTGAGTGATGGAACAGCTCCGAGCAAACTACCGTTCTTCCTTCTCGCTACGCTTTTCGCAACGATCAGATGGAATTGGTTAAAACGAAAAGAAAGTGATGAGAAAAAGACGAAGCATTCGATTCAGCGACCGATATTTGACTTCATATTCAATATCAACTTTTGAGTTGAGTTTCTTCATTGAAAAAGGTGGGTTAAGGTAATATAAACATAGGTTTTTGTGGAGAAAACTGTTGTGAATTAGGTTTTGATAGTCGAAATGTGTAGAATAGGTAATACAGGTACTAGAATGGTCAAAATGTTATAAGAAATGAAGTTTAGAAGGATTGAAATTAATGGATTAGCAATTTTTGGGTATTATGTTAGACTAGAGGCAAGTTAGTGGTCTTTAACTCAAAATTTCGAGATTTTGTAAAACGTCCTTTCCTTCTAATTTAATATGATCTTGTAGAGCAGATTATTAACTCTCTTTTAAGTTATAAAACATAAAAATCGACAAAATCTTTTTAAAGATACGTGTAATTTTATTGTCGACTACTTTGTATCAGCTCATGATGAATATAATTTCTTGTATCATCTAAACTAGTGAATTGAAAATAAGAGTTTTTAGCTTGAATGAATGTTGGGATAATAGGCTAATTACTATACAAAAACGTTTTAAAAATTTTTTAATTATTATGTCACTAATATTATATTACACTAGAGGTGAGCTGGAAGTATTTAACTCATGATTGCGCGGTTTTGTATGTATTTTGTGATGCAAATTTAATATAATATTATAACTTAGACTTTCAGCTTTAATTTGATCTATAAATTGCAATATTCAATGATCCTTCCTAATTTCAGGCTCCAAAGTTCACTAAACCTTCAAATCCCTTTGAACTTCGATCAAAATTGGCCAAATGAGTGCCGAAAAGGGCCCGGAATGGTACAATGAGCGGGACCTGGACCTAATTAGCATGCTAAATGCATGTAGAGCTGGTAATACGATGGCGGTCAAGAAATTCATTGAACAAGGAGGTGTGGACGTGGACGAGGGGGACGATGATGGCATCACCGCGCTTCAGATCGCCGCAGCTGAAGGACATTATACTATGGTAATTTTTGGTTAAATTATAGTTTGTTATGAGTTTAGGTGGCATTACAGTAAAATTTTTGGGTCGTACCAAGAATGGCAAATGGATTTTTGTTCAAAAATGAGGGTTTTTACCTAAATCTGGCGATATAACCAACGTTTTTAATTTGTAAACAAAGTTTTTGCCATTGCAGGTGGAAATGCTGATCAGAGAACTTCAAGCAGACATTCACCTAGCTAACGTGATTGGATTCACACCGTTCTTGCACGCATGCAGAGAAGGACATCTGAATGTAGCCAAGTATTTGGTCCAAAATGGTGCTCGCGTCACTGATAAAACGTATTATTTTTGTGTTTTACATTGTAAAAGGGTTCTGGAGAGCTATTATTGAAGAGATTGATTATATATAGCTCGTGTAATAATCTAGGATCATAAACCTGTAAAAATTTTGGAATTTGCAGAAGATTCAACGTGACAGCATTGGCCTTGGCTAGCGCCGGCGGGCATGTAGAAGTGGTCAATTTATTGATCACACTGAACACAAAATTTGTTGAACATGATGGTAAATTCACATTCTTATCCATATTTTATCATTTTCTTTTCTGATTCTTACTCGCTTTACCTTGTTTTACACTTTTTTGGACCTTTGTTATGTTATCCATGATAAAAAATTTACTTTTTAATATTTTTAAAACAATTATTGATAAAAACCAATTTCTTTGTTAATATCCTTTTAAAAAACACCCCTAACTTGCTTTAGAAAAAGGAAATCAAACCAAAAAGTTGGAGAACAACGAAGAGACAAATTACCCGCAAGTAGAGAAAGACTTGACTCCAACTGCTTTGATCGCGGCCGCGGCACATTCTCAAGTCTCAACCGCTGAAGTGCTTGAAGCACGGTAAGTTATTTTATTTTTGTTTCTGATTTTAGGTAGATCTTCAGGTGATGGAATAAAAAATACTAGGAAAACAGTATTATTATGGTGAATATAGTGAGGGTTTTTTTGTTGTCCGTTTTTAAAGTTAATATAAGCTTTTTGAGGTTAAATTATGTTGACTATAACGAGAAGATCCTTCAAAAACAGTTTTTGATAAGTTATAGCGGTTCTAGAATGTTTTCTTCAAGAATTTTCAAGTTTTAGCTTAAAAAGGAGTTAAAGCAATATTATACATTTCAAAAAGCTGTAGTTTTACATAAAGAGTCTAGATTATTAGCTAATAATATTAAAAATTTAGAGGAGCAGATGTTAACAATGTTCTGCCAGGAAACATTGGCTTGACCGCGCTCCATGTGGCCGCGATTTGTGGAACCGCACAGATTGTCCAGTTCTTGCTCACGAAACACGCGGTTCCAAAGCAATTAGGAGGTAAAACCTTTGAAAAATGGTTGAAGTTTGTCAAGGATAACAATGCCAAATCGTTGTTAACACAGCTTTTACATGGACGAAGCATCAGGGACAAGACCAACGATAAATGTATGTTGTACTTGGTATTCGTTGTTGTTTTAGGCGAATTCAAGAGTTTTTGTGGAAAAATGAATTGATTTTGGTTGTTTTTGGATAGGATAGTCCAGCTATTATAATGTTTGTTATATTGAAAAGGCTTTTCTTTAGTTTTGACGTTTGATTTTTCAAGTTTTGAGGTCAGATGTTGTTGTAGGTATATACTTCCTTTTTTCAAGCAAAAATCAAATGTTTCTCAACGTTTTTAGGTTTACATCAACTCATTATTGCTTTGTTTGTCATTTTAGCGTGATTTGACATTAGTTTTAAAGCATTAAGCTAGGAAAAATTAAGGTTAACTTACCTTATCCTCTCTTCAAAGCCCTTTTTCCAGCTTTATGCCATTATTTTCAGCTATAACCGAGATCCTGGACGAAAACGATCTACCCACATTGGCCAAATACCGAACCGAACTACTTTTCAATCAAAAGATCGAAGATATAACCCCGTTAATGTACGCAGTAGCAGCTGGAAACCTGAACGCAGTGAGTTTTCCTCCTTTTTATTTATTCCTTTGCGAAAAGAAAAGGAAAGAGAAAAGAAATGAAGCGAGGAGCGCTGTGTCCGACCATAGCTCAGTTGGTAGAGCGGAGGACTGTAGTTCAAGCGGAAATCCTTAGGTCGCTGGTTCGAATCCGGCTGGTCGGAATTGCTTTTTGCTGGGTTTTTAAAAGGTTTTGGGGATGGAAATGGGTTTAGTATTGTATAATGTTGTGTTTTTATTGTCCTACGTTGTTTTTTTTGCATTGCTTTATGCTATTTTTGTGTTTTTTAGTTGTTTTATGTCGTTTTATTTGTGTTTTTGACTGTTTTTGTTTATGTTTTGCTGTTTTATGCTACTTTTTCATGTTTTTTGGTTGCTCAGTGTATTTTTTTGTTGATGTGCCTGCCTTTTGTCATTTCTTTGTGATGTTCAGTGGGTTTTTTATAGCTAGTATTGTAATTGAAGCCCATAAAAATAGTACTTTTTAAAATTTTTGAAAAAAACAAATTTAGGTAACAAGTTGTTGTAAACCAGTGTCAGAAGTAAGGCATCCTCGAATGAGCAAAAAACTGCAAGAAGAGTTTTTCAAAGAGGAATTGAACGCACAAGAGCCTACATACGGCTTGACGGCTTTAATGATGACTGTTGTTATTCGGTAAGTATTTATTTATATTGGTATCTGTCGTGCTTTGTTTGTCTTGAAATTCATTTTGTTTCACCGGTCTAGATCTCCGGTCTATGTGCATTGTATGCTAGAAACTTTGTGTGATAGCATTATTTATACGAATCGAGTTTTAGTGACTTTGATATGTATCGTGAAATCTTGGACGCCGGTGCTAATCCTCATATCCAAACTAAACCTCAAAACAACGAAAATGTGTTAACCGCGTTGACATTAGCTCAAAAACTAGGTTTTACCGAAGCGGTTTTATACTACTACAACAAGCAGTTTGCAAATCAACCTACGTCAACATCACGAGCACGAGACCAGCTTATTAGGTCAACAATGGACAGCTTTAGGTATGAATTTGCTTGGACTATAATAGTCATCAAGATCTGTATAAGATAAGCTGTATAACAATGTGTAACAAAATATAATTAAAAAATAACATTAAGGACTACAAAAGAAGGCCTTCGAATGATATTGAACAAGCTAGGCCAAATGGACGAAGAGCCGGTTGTCAAAGACGCTGGTCCATCACGCGATGACTTTGAACTACTAAAGCATAGCGGTAATGTGGATTGGAGTAAACCATTGCCGTTCTTGGACACTCAACAACTCTATTATTCTCAAAAAACACCTGAGAAACCGGTCGATAACATCACATACGATGGGAACATTCAGTTGTGTGTTAATATGACTAAAGTAAGTCAGATGACGACGATTTTTTTAAAAAAACGTTAGAAAGTTTGTAACAGACACAAAAGAAACAGATTTTGTTACAGTAATTATGTTTTTCAAGAAAATCTCATTACGGTGAAAAAAAACTTATTACCTAGCATTTCAAAATAAAAAAAAATTTAAGAACATTGCTGAAAACTTCCCACTAATTCAACCACTGCCTGTTGGTGTACCATTAGATACAGACTACTCGATATTCGAAAACTACTCGAAATGTAATCAACTAAATCCAGAAACACAAAACAAGGCTTTAACAGCTGAGGAAATGCTACAAAAGTTGAAAGACTACAGTAATTTTGGGTCGTCCACGACTTCCGATAAGCTCGTCATGCAACGTATGTTGGTGTTTATATAGTACTTGCACGTGCATGAGTTTTGTTGTAAAAGAGTTTAAAAATCTCATTTTAAAGCTTATCACTTTGTATTATACTAGGTCCTGCATTTAGGTAAACTAAAAAATGCCTTTAGGTAAACTTGAAAAAAGACGAAACTCGGAGGTTAAATCGTTCAGTGCCAGTGATAATCCGATTAATGTGCTAGCGGCTGTGAATTTGGATCGTATTAATTTTGAAACTGAGCCAAAGCCTATGCCAAAGTAAGTACGGTTTTGCTACAAATTGAATTTTAAAATTGCGTGTGGATTACAACAGTTATTTTCCAATAACGAGGAACTACTAAATTGAGCGATTTTACTGTCAAATAGGTTTGCTGTGACTAGATTGTCTGGGACTATAACGAGAGTGTGCTTATAATAGAATAAGAGTACCAACCCAACTAAGATTGACTATAGCAAAGACAAAAATTTTTAAAAAATGATGTCATGATGACAATATAACTGTGTGAAACAACAACTCTACTAAGAAACAGACTTGTGAAACATAGTAGACATTTTTTTTTCAAAAAATGTAAATTTACATGGAAAAGCCGCCGCCCAGAACTTGTTTTTTCCGTTCTCGAGTTTTGGTGTAAAAGAGTTAAAAAGTTCCTCGTCTAAGACTTATCACTTCGTACTAAAAATGAGGAAGAGTATTTCGTGTCCTTTCGATTTGCGCGAAGATGAAATACCTCTGGCTTTCATGGGAAAACGAAAATCGATCAGTAACATCATACTAAAGGATTGTGTTAGTGGCTGCAAAAAGTTTCTGGAAAAGTGAGTTTGGAGTAGTGTTTGGGAACGATAAATTCTTTCTCGGTCTCTAACACTAGTTTGAAGTGAAATATCTTATCATCGTCAAGGTTTTTGGCTGGGAGATTTGAAAGTTTATATTGAATCGGCCTCGTCCGATCCTTTTACCGGTCTTCATCTAGCACTTAAAATATCACTGTGGAAGACTTTAATTGGTCAGCTGACCTAATAATTTGCAGACAATTTCTACTACAACCGATTAAAAGTATTCCACATCGATTTCAAAACCCTCACTCGGCCCCAACCCAGCGGCGACAACTGCAAATGCAAGCAAGAAACAGTGGCACTAACTGTCAGCTACGGTTTAGGCAACGCCCTCCCGGGCTGTCGTGGCATTCAAGCAACGGTAGTGCGTACGGTTCACCTAGACTTACTATGGGTAGGTTTGGTCAACGTTAATACGATTTTTTTACTTTGGTTGGGCTTAAAATTGGCTTTGGCTGGGCTTTAATTTGGCTTTGGATGGGCTGAAACTTCGCTTTGGCTGGGGCTAATTTTAGTTTTGGTTGAACTTAAATTTGGCTTTGGCTGGGTTTATAACTGGCTTTTGCGCGGCTTTAAATTGGCTTCTATAGCCCTCTAGTTTCAAGAATTAAAGCATGCTATTTTAGATGTTTTGCGAAGCGAGCTGGCTTCGCACAATCTACAGAATTACTTTGAAAAGTTGCGCGTACAAGAAATCGACGAGAAAATGTTTTTGGAGCTAAGCAAAGCCGACTTTAGGCAGCTTGTTGAAGATCAACACGATCGCGAAATCATCCAAAACATTCAGTATGGTTTACGATCACGTTACGGAAGTCAGGTCAATACTCCGACATAAAAAGATTCAGTTTATTTTAGTACAATATACACGTAATGTATACTTTTGTCTGTTATGACGACAATGGCCACTACATATACTAGACAAAAAATGTTTTATTTATTCTATATTGACTTTTGAGAAGTTTACTTTAATTGCACTGAAATGTTTATTGAAAAAACCTATAAACTTACAACCATGGTGTGTACAGTAAATAAATGACAATAATTTTGCAAAAACAATTACAGTACTCTCTCTATATAAGCAAATAAAAGGGATCAACAGTTTGTGTTTACTATTGTAATATGGTATTGGATATATACTGTTAAGGTATTCCCCTTTACTATACTACACATTTTGTCCCAACGACACCGATAGTTCTGGTCGGACCCGCTGTCCTAATCCTATTGGGTAATTTAACATTACTTAGAGTAACTAGATTACAAATATTAATGAAATAGTTATTTATTAAAAATACTTAGTAGTTACAGTAAAGTACAGTAATCTAGACACATAATGTCCGCTCCGACCTTCCTTTCCCTTAGGTTTCCATCTCTTAATGATTTCTGCGATTTTTCACCTTGGGCGGCTGGTGGGCGTATAGACATATTTCGCGATTACAATTTAATATGAAAAGGCTATCGTAACACTATAGTGGATTGTGGACGGCGGGGGAGGTGTTGTCTTTACACAGTGGTTTTTAGTGCAAATTGACTTGGCGAGGCCAAACGTCTTGCTTTAAGGAGAGTTGCTTATACAGATGGTTAATTATATAGAGACTGTAAAAAAAAATAATGGGCGCAATATCTTTCCAATAACGCTATTTGCCGTTACAAAAAGTTTTAAAAGTCAAGATTTTTAAATTCAAAAGCGATGGTTTAAAGAGCCTAGTGCTGCTCCTTGACCTATGAAAGTATCTTGGCCTATAACAGTTGGAGCTGGGGTTCCTAACCTAATCGGCGCTCCTTGTCCAACGTTTATTGATTCTTTGGGGTTTCTTTGTGGATCTTTAGGTTTTGTTGCTATTCCTTGACCTATACCATGACCTATGCTAATATCACGGTTGTTAACTATTGGAGTTAGTACTTCAACACCAAGTGGCGCGCCTTGACCAATAGATTTTGATTCTTTGAATCTCTAATTTTCATTCCTTGACCTATGTCGATATCATGGTTACTAGTTTTGTCGTGCTCAATTTTTGTTCCTCCGCTAACATTATGTGATTTATTTTTGCTCTGTTTTGGTTCTTTCAGGTCTATACCTTGACCAATGGTTTTGGATTCTTTGGTACTTCTTTTTGAATTTCCAATGTTCATCCCGGTTCCTCGACCTATAGGACTGTCAGAGTCGTTAACATTTTGAGCTGGCTTTCTTGATTCAACCTGCGTTCCTTGACCAATAGTTTTTGATTCTTTGGGGCTTTTTGAATCTCCAGGTTTTGTTGTTATTCCTTGACCTATACCTTTGTCATACTCAATTTTTGTACCTCCACCAATATTTGTTGGTTCTTTGGTGCCTCTTTTTGAATCTCTAATGTTCATTCCTGCTCCTCGACCTATAGTACAGTCAGTCGTTAACATTTTGAGCTGGTTTTCTTGTTTCAACCTGCGTTCCTTGACCAATGGTTTTTGATTCCTTGGGGCTTTTTGTATCTCTAGGTTTTGTTTCTATTCTTTGACCAACACCGATATCACGGTTGTTAGTTTTGTCATTTTCAATTTCTGTACCTCCACCAATATTTGTTGGTTCTTTGGTGCTTCTTTTTAATCTCTAGGTTTTGTTGCTCTTCCTTGACCTATACCGATATCACGGTTTTTAGTTTTGTCATCCTCAATTATCTTTTCTCCGCTAACATTAGGTGATTTCTTGTTGCTCCGTATTGAATCTCTAATGTTCATTTCTGCTCCTCTGCCTATATTAGTAGCAGAGTCGTTGAGACCTCTATTAAATCCATTTCTTGAACTTTCTTCGATAATTTGTGAATTTTTGCTTTGTATAGAATTTCTTATGGGTGCTCTCGGATATATAACAGGTCTTTCGTACTCTGGAACATAAATTTAATGTTTCTATTATGTTGTTCAAAAAGTAATGAGCCATTGCTTGGCAACTTTTCAAAAAACCAAAATTTTGAAATTGTTTTAAATTTTAGCCAAAGAAAGGCGATATTAAAGTAAAAAATTAAACACAACTTACCGTTTGACCGTACACTACCGGTTCCAGGGTTGGCTGGATTGGCATACATGTCTTCAAAATTCGGTGGACAATAAAGGTACTGTGGGCGCTAGGACAAATGCGGTTTTTGGACATTTGCGGATCTGCGGTTTTTAGACACTTGCGGATCTTCGGTTTTGGACACTTGCGGATTTTGGACATTTGCGGATTTTTTAAAGGGGTTTTTTTTATTTTTTATTTAATTCAGTTGTAGTATGGTACTAAATGGTACTAAAGCTTAAATTGGTACTGTTTTAATATGTTTTAGTGCTAAATAGTACTAAATTTTAAATTGGTACTGTTTTATATTTTTTGGTACTGAATGGTACTAAAAGCCCAAAAAAGTACTGTTATGTTAAAACCGCACCAATTTAAACTTTAGTACAATTTAGTACCATACTACAAATAAATTAACTAAAAAATAAAAAAAAAACCTTTAAAAAATCCGCAAGTGTCCTAGCGCCGTACTGTGGTATGTAGTTGGGCGCCTTTTCTTCCTCATGCGGATCCTCGAGCAGATATCTATGCAAATTTGACTCCATGACCTTAGTTTTATAACCTGCTGGTGGTGCCGATGGTTGTGGTGGTAGCAACGTATCGCCCGTACGAATGCCGTCCACCGGCATTGGCATTACATTACGTACTGGAATTGACCCCACAAGCATTGGTACTGTACATTCTATAGTGTTATCGAATGTGTTGTATGGACGGATTTCTACAGTAAGAGTATATTGAACTTGGACAAATTGACAGAGATTAAAGCTTGGTACCACTGGAGTAAGTTGTAGTACATCTTGGAATGTCCAGTTGCCAGGTCGAGGTTGGTCAAAGACTTTTTGGTTTTGGGCAACTACTTCTGTGTTCGTTTTTTGCATAGTTTCTGGATTTTGATGGTCATCGGGCACTGACGAGTCAGCACTTGGTTGTCGATCGGCATTGAAATGTTGGATTTGGTTTACCTAGAACATTACTCATGTGCAGGGCCGGGCGGGGACTTTTGGTCTGGGGGCAGGGGTCCAAAAAATCGGCACAGGTAGCTAGCTACCTGATTTTTTGCGAAAATTTTTTTTAAAAATCCACAGGGGGGACCACGTTCAAATTTTTTCGAAAATTTTTTTTGGGGGGGGGGGGTACCCCTAGAGGAGGTCATTACAGAGGGTTTTGCTATATATGAATTTTGTTGTAGAGATTGTTATAAAAGCGCTTGTTATAGAAGAGTTTGTTATACAGCAGTTTTGTTATATAACTGTCTTTATAGACGGGTTCGTTATAAAGGAGCAGTGGAAAAAAAACCGTTAAGTTTGGCTACTGATAAAAAACAAAAAACTTACTCCGAATACTCTTCTCTCTCATACCATATAGTTTTGGCTTTGCCTCGAAACATGACTTGGACAGTTCCAGACGTTACGGTTTTCGAATTCTGGATAATTACTGTGCCAGCTATCACGTTTCCTGGATAAAACCAGCCATTCGGATTGTCCAATTCCATCTTCAATTCGTCCATATCACTAAAAATTCACAAAATTAGTGGATACGGTATAACTTCTGTCTCTACAAACCCCTCACTTAGTTTAATTAAATGAAGGCAATACAACTACGAGAACAAATACTATTTAAACAAGTATTAACTTCCTACTATTTGTAACGATCCTTAACTAAAGTTGGCAGAATTAATTTGTTTCCCTGATGATAAACAATTTGTATGTGTTGAACAATTGTACTGTTTTGTTTCATTATCTTACATTTGTTAGGTTTTGTCGTTTTTGAAAATTGGCACAAACTTGTAGTACGTAGCATGGTCAGTTAGCGAGATGAGTAAGAAGGCACTGTTGGTGCACTTTAGTCTTCTTTTTTGCAAAACGTGAATCTTGAGTGTTGGTTCATCTTTTCTAGTAGCAGAAATCACGATGTGACGGTCTTATCTCAAGTTCCACTTTGACGATATATGATGTACTATAATACATATCGTATGTGACTGAAGTGGAATTTGTTACTGATCTAAAAGTGAATGCTTTATCATGAAATATTGATTTAATTAAAGGGGGGGGGGGGGATCTTTTATATTTTTTGAGAAAAAACCCTCTTCCGACCATGGTTATCATATCAATAATAACAGCGGCGAATAGTTGTTTTAAACGCGATCTTGTTTTCAAGTGGTCTGGACTCGGAAAAAACAATAAAACAAAGATAAAAAGTAGTTTATCATCTTCTGCTTTTCTATTTTTTTGTTGTACGATTTAATATTGTCTTTTTTGTACTTTTTTGTAGGTGTTTTTACCATTTGTAATGTAACTTTCTTTGGTTATAGGTAAATTTTTGGTCTTTAAATATTTTGTTACAAACTTGTAAGAAGTTCAGTTAAAAGGCTATTGTGGTAACTTCAAGGGTTATAAAATGTATTCTGGCTAATAGTAAGGTTTGGTATTTTGGCTTTTTAGTGTATATCTTACAAGGGAGTTGCACCAAATATCCCTTAGGTTTTAGAACGAGACCTATATAGGGCGAAAGAGCATAAACTGTTGCCAAAAAACCGTTTTCAAAAACTTCTAAATCGTCTTGGCTAGCGTGTTACACTACGCTCAATATTCTTATACAGTGGAACCTCCGTATAAAGAACCTCTATATAACGAAACCCTTGTATAACGAACAACTTTTGAATCCCCTAGCGACCTGTTATACAGAGTTTTTACTGTATGTGATAGGTATAGCTTTAAAATTCGAAAAAAAACATATTTTTTGATAAAAATTTTTAAATTGTCGCGTCTAGAAGGTAGTAATTTTTAATTCCGCTAAATTCTTTTTGGTATTTTGCCATTATGACAAGACCTTTTGGCTAGCCAAACAATATTTTGATATAAAAGTATTGTTTGTGTTTATAATTTCTTCTTTTATTAGGTTGTTCAAATAATTCTGTGCTTCTAACCCTGTAATTTGCTGTGAAAGGGGCTCAGAATTATTTGAACAAATTAATAGTTACTCTTAAGGAATAATCATGTTTTGAATTTTAAAGCTAGGGTTTTTAAACGCATAGGAATATTGAGCATCTGTAACACTCTAGCCAGGGCTATTTAGTAGTTTTTGAAAACGTTTTTCGTGGTATAACTTGTTTATGCACTTGCAACCTGTATAGGTCTCATTTCAAAATCTAAGGGATATATGGTGGAACTTCCTCGTAAAATATGCACTAAACATTCAAACTACCAACAAGTATTTATAGTCTAATGGATTGGTGCAACTCCTTCGTTAGAAATTCTAATGTTCATAAAACTGTTTAGTTTGATTTTTTAAATCTCAAAAAACGGTTTTAAATCGCCAAAAAACGGTTTCGAAAGTCAACACTCGGAGGTCCGACAGTGAGAATGCAACAGTGTAAGCGCCTATGCAGAGTTCATATATCATTTTGTGTGTCGGCGGCGTCCGATCGTTATCAATCGCCCAAAAAAGTAAACGTCCCCAACGACAAACGAGGCGAATCGCAATTCCATGGTTCAAACACGCCTTTGTCGTATTGTCTAACTGAATGTTGTTTCGGACGGACTGAATGTTGGGGTTATTGGACTTGAATTGAGTTTTTAAGATATTTTTTTAAATAGGGGGAGGGGAGGTGTTGGATAGAGAAACTTTGGGCAGGACAGAATAGATAAGTTTAAGTAGGGGAGAGTAAGGTAGAGTAAGATTTTTGAAAGTAAGAGGTTATAGGGTAAAAAAGGTTATGGCAAGTCAAAGTAAAGCAGATAACGGTAGGGTAAGGTAGGTTAAAGCGTTTTTATATAAAATATTGTAGGGTAGAGTAGATTAAGGTAGGTTATGTTAAGGTAGTGTAACGAGGTTCGGAAGAGAGGAAAAGTGTGAAGAAAAGAGTAGGGTAAGGTAGGTAGATTAGGTAAGTTATTCTAATATATGCTATTATAGGGCAAAAAAGGGTCGGAGGCAGAGTAAAGGAGAGTACAAAAGAGTAGAGTAAGGTAGGGAAGGTTAAGATATTAATACGATATTGTAGGGTAGAATAGAAGGAGGAAGGGTACTGAAATAAGATATGATAGGGCAAAGGTAGGGCACGGTAGTATAATGTATTGTATGTTAGGGTAAGGTAGCGGGGTACAATAGGGTAGGGTAGAGTAAGGTAGGGTAAGTTAAGGTAAAGTAAGGTGCAGTAAGATCAGATAAGGTAAGTTATGGCAAGCTAAGGTAGGGCAGGGTAGATCACTTTAAAGTAAAATACAATTGGCGATTTTCGTAAAAAGTTAATATGTATTTCTAGCATACTCGTTTTGTTGGTTACTGTATGGTACAATACGAATAACTATGTTTTTCTATCAAAAGTAGCCTTTTTCAGAATTGTTAAATTTGAAAATTTGCGGCAAAAAATTATCACGCTTGTACACAACTTGTTATCACACACTATATTCGTCAAAAACTAATCTAAATTTGATTACAAAAAAAATTATTGTTTGCACTTTTGCCGCAACCCAAGGGGTTTGTTGTCGCCATTTCATTTATCGGAATTTCCTATTTACAAAACTGTTGATTAGCTGCAAATTAACGGGACCCGCGATAGGTGGGCTGTCGTTGAAAAGACGCGCTAATCGACCGTCGTCTGCGTTTCGGAAAACTTTTGAAAGTTTCGGAAATTTTGAACATTTGTGTTTGCGTCATTGTCTATCTACTGAGTAGTTTGGAGGTTTAGCGTACTTTTGTAATTTTTTATTGTGAGGATCATATTTTGTATAATAAGGGCCTGGGACGTAGCTACTGATTTTTTCTGGGGAGCGTTTGGGAGGGGAGATTGTAGTGGTTAAAAAGTTTTTTTGGTGTACAGGTAGAGCTACGTGTGCACCCATTTTTTAAAACATTTTTTCCGATTTTTCACATACTAGGACCTACCTGGGAATGTTTTAGGATTGGCTTGAGGAGAGGGTGGGCATGGATCAACTCCCCATTCATCCCTTCCATTTTTCCTTCCTACGGCTTTGATAAGGGTATTTTGAGTTTATTTTACAAATTAAGTATAGGTTTAGAGTTTGAAAATAT